CTTCCCCCTTCCCCTCCCTCCCCTCCATAGTTTGTGCCATTTATGAGTCATGTATGGTACCAATAAAATGACTTTTCGGTTTGAGGGTGTTACAAGTGCTTATTTCTGAGCATGGGACCTGGGCAATGTGGACAAGGCAGAGGGGGGGGTCACCTCGTACCCCCAGTGCCCTGGAGAGAATGTGAGCACAGGGCTCGCTGTGCTCCTAGGATGATGCTGGCTTGCCTCGGGCTGCTGGTTCCCAGCCAGGCCCTGGCTGTCTTCCTGCTGTGCCATGGAAAGCAGAAATCCCAGCAAGGACAGGGCACAAGGCTGCTGGGAAACAACGCTGTCCTCGAGCCAGAGCAAACAAGCAGCTTAGGGCCTGCCCTGACACCAAGGTGATGGGCATGTTCCCTGGGGAGCAGCAGGGGTGGCACTGTGGGAGCAAGGCAGCAGCAGCCAACTGGTGTGCAGGGGTGCTGGGGAGGCAAAGGAGGGACAGTGATCACCCTCCCCCCAGAGCAGGCGGCACAGAACCAGCCTTCTCCATGGAAGCTGCCCTGATCTTTTAGGAACTAGGAATCCCCACACCAGTGCTGGGGGACAGACGCTGGTACCCATTTCCCCGGCCAGCTGGTTCCAGATGGTGTTTTGTTGTCTCCACTGGGTGGGGTACTGGGCACAGCCCCCAGCCATGGGGGGACATTGGGTTTAAACTATGTGTGCCTCACTGAATGCAACCCCCAGCCTGCAGGGCAGCAGGTGATGCTGGGGTGAGGGCAGGTAATGAGAAAGGGAAAAGGAACGTGGGGGAAATGGCATAGGTGCTGCAGGGAAAGGTGGGGTCAGGGTGGGTCTCTTATCTGAGCAGGGCAGGGCTTGGGTTGACATATGCACCAAGGGATGTCACCTTGCCATTCTTCATGATGGAGCTGGGGCTGTGGGGCTGGAGGACACCTGTGTCATGGTGGGAACTCCTGGCTAGGCAGGGGTGGAGCAGGGTGAGTCAAGTAAGCCCATGGCATGGTGGCATCCTGGGCTGAGGTGTCAATACCTTCACTCCTGACATGCACTGAACTGTAGCAACCTCAGTGGGATGTCCTGAGCTGAAAGGAAGTAATAGCCTGGAGAAGATCCTCCCATCCCTGAAGGATCCCACAGATGCCCAGCCAGATCCTGCTCATGCAGCTGTGGGAGCTGGGCATACACTGATTTGGGGGGTGCAGCATGCAGGGCAGCCAGCCCCATTCCATGTGGGGTCCCTGGTGCCCTGCTCCACACTGTGTCCCCTTTCCCCAGAAGCTGGCAGAGGGCCCTGAGGCAACACTTTGGAGTTGGTATCCAAGCTGGAAAGTTCAAGGATGCCCGTGAAACCTCCAAACCTCCCTCCCCCCAACAGCCCCAGTGCTGTGAGAAATGTTGGTGCCTGTTTTTGTTTCTTTTTGTTTCATTTTTTGGAGGAGCATCTGTGTCCTCTGCCACTCTGTCCCAGTGCCAGTGCTGCACCGCAGGGTCTCACATGGTCCCCCTGCACAGGCCAGGCCTGGAGGAACCACCGAGGCAGGGCTGCCTCCTTCCCATGCCACCTTCTCGCAAGGTCACGGACAACGGTGACGCCTGGGGAAAGTTAAGCAGTAACCTGGGAGGTGGCAGCCAGCAAGTCATCAGTGCTGGGGGGCTGGGTATAGCTCACCTGGACTCCCCGCTGAAGCTGGTCTAAAAGCACACGGTGCCCCATGCAGGAACGGGGACCAAGGACCATACTGGGGATACTGGCTGTCCTGGGGAGCGAGGCAGGAGCAGCGGAGCACAGCTGAGGGCATGGGGCAAGGCAGGCAGTATGGGGGGCTCTAGGCAGGGGGGCTGTGGCAGGGTGGGCTGCTGGAGAGGCCAGCACTGGAACTGGCAGTGTGGAGACAGAGCTGGGTCTCCATGGGGCAAAGAGGGGGCATGATCTGGGCATTGGGCAGAGGGGCTGGCTACCATGGGCAGGGGGCTCTCGCAGGTGGGATGGGGCAGGAGCTTTGGTCTTCTTGGGAGGAGATGCAGGATGTTAAGTTGAGATGGAGTAGAGTCTGGGGTCCCCCCAGTGCAGAGGTGGCGTGCTGGAGCAGTTTGAGGCAGAAGCTCTGGCCCCCCACTTGTAAATGCAAGGCGCCGGGGTAGGACGGGGCAGGAACTGGGGCTCCTCAGGGGCAGATGCAGGGTGCTGGGGTGGGATGAGGCAGAGACAGGGGTTCCTGCGGGGTGAAGGCGGAGTACTGGGGTGGGATGGGATTGCGGCTATGGTCCTCTCACGGCAGAGGAGGGTACCAAGCC